TTATAAGGATTTTAATTTGTACCGAATTAACATGTGTTCTTATGAGAAACGTATAACCACGTCGATTCAAATGACAAAAACACATGGAAATAATATTCAGAATTTGTTTAAAATTTGCAAAAGTTTAGATGCAGAGAAAATATTTGGTCAAATAATATTATACAAGTACTAACTGATTAAGAAGATATTAAATATAATTCAATGAAGTTAGCCATGTATCTGTCACAAGGCGAAATTCTCTGCCAAAAGTTAATCATTTCGATTAAGGATGTTTTGTACCTATTTTCAAAATATTGAGAATTTAATGAAAATTGTACAGAATGTCCTTACATATGTTTAGAATCTTCAGTACAATTTTTAAATCGATTCACTTTTAAAGCGTTCACAAGTTATAAGGATTTTAATTTGCACCGAATTAACATGTGTTCTTATGGGAAACGTATAACCACGTCGATTCAAGTGACAAAAACACATGGAAATAATATTCAGAATTTGTTTAAAATTTGCAAAAGTTTAGATGCAGAAAAAATATTTGGTCAAATAATAGTATACAAGTATTAACTGGTTAAGAAGATATTAAATACATATAATTCAATGAAGTTAGCCATGTATCTGTCACAAGGCGAAATTCTCTGCCAAAAGTTAATCATTTCGATTAAGGATGTTTTGTACCTATTTTCAAAATATTCAGAATTTAATGAAAATTGTACAGAATGTCCTTACATATGTTTAGAATCTTCAGTACAATTTTTAAATCGATTCACTTTTAAAGCGTTCACAAGTTATAAGGATTTTAATTTGCACCGAATTAACATGTGTTCTTATGGGAAACGTATAACCACGTTGATTCAAGTGACAAAAACACATGGAAATAATATTCAGAATTTGTTTAAAATTTGCAAAAGTTTAGATGCAGAAAAAATATTTGGTCAAATAATAGTATACAAGTACTAACTGGTTAAAAAGATATTAAATATAATCAATGAAGTTAGCCATGTATCTGTCACAAGGCGAAATTCTCTGCCAAAAGTTAATCATTTCGATTAACAAAATTCAAAATATTTCAATGAAAACGCAATAAATATTAAAAAATACATCTCTGCACTGTAGCTAATATCAAATTATAATATTCCACACAATTTCTCGTACTCAAAATACACCAAAAGTGGATATATTCGTCAATATTGATTTTCAGTTACTTTTTACTGGGATTGTACATACAAAACATCCTTAAACAGAGCGGTGGATAATTTTTAAAGAGCGTAAAAAACATTGTTTAGCTCGAAATGGACAAAAATCCGTAAAAAATGATGGAAAATTGTTGAACATATATTCCCTCGCTATAACAATAATTAAACTAAATAGGTAAACTATGTAAAGGCAAAAGAGATTATTGTGTTGAAATTACGAATAATAAGCCATTTTTCATACCGGTATTATATTATCCATTAAAAGTCACAAATTTAGCCATAGACGCGGAAACGCGACAATAGTATGGTCGCTATGAATTCATGCATATTATGCGAAAATTATTTTCGAAAAATTGGAGTCTCGTAAAAAGTTAATAAACGCCGGGCTACATTATTTGCAACGTAGGAATAATGGCGCGCATAATTAAATGGGCAAACAGCGAGCGAAACCCCGGAAAATCAATTTGGTGAAAGCATCCACGACTTGTAAATGTCACCGATAATCTCTATGTTTTGTGTTGCACGCTAAAACAAGATATTTGTGTACCAAGACCATCGATATATATTTATATAAATATTTTAATAACGGACAATACTAAAGGCCAAAGTAAAAAGAAAGCGATTTGTGAGACACTGATATAAGCACTTATTGTTTTAATCAATTCTTACAGTGAGTCCCAAAATTGCTATAAATACTACTGTCTTTTAATATCTACCTTTATGCAACGGAAGGACACTTTGGAAAAAATGTCAAATTATTTCGTCACATTCTAAATACGACTCGTAAAATTGAGAATGATGAGAATAAGAGATGAGAAACAATTTCCGGTGTTTAACGATGTAATCCGTAGTCAAATGTCAACGTTATTTGTACAGTTATCTGAGTTGATAATTATATCCCTTCCGCATATCCCATCGACAACCGATGAAGTCTAAATTTAAACCCTACTTACGAAAAACCTAACGAGAATTAGGCGCGAAGGTATTTTCGGAGTCATAAAATTCTCATCGACGCGAGGAAAGTTTCATCGTGGAAAAACGTCCAAACACATTCCGAAAGAGATACGAGCCCGAGGTATAAAATTTCCTACCAAATAAACATCATCCCGCCCTGAGAGTGCGCATCCCAGCCGCTCTTATTTCCGTTGCCGTTTCCGCGTTTCTGCCGCGCTTCAAGAGCGGCCGATTAAAGAGAGAGGAGCCTCTGCGCGAAGGGGAGTCGCACGGGAAACGGGACGGGAAATACTCCCGCGCAATATTGCGGGTAATGCCCGTGTGTGTGTGTCTGTAAAAAACTTGGTTAGTTTAAAAACAAAAACACCTTCCCTCCCTCCCTCCCTCCTCCGGGCGTCCCACCTCCCGGGAGAAAATCGCGCGGCCACTCTGGCGAAATAATATTGTTGTTGCTTTTAGGAAGCGTCCTCGCGCGACGATGATTAATGGCCGACCCGCGACAATGGGTAGACGTCAGCAGATACGCGTGAAACCACGGTGTTACACGGTGAATGTCGGCACGTGTGCGCCATTGTTAGGGAAATAGACTTGAATGGTGTGTTAAACAAATTTCACTCGCGAACGAAATATCCGACATGGATGAAAAGTTGCGTCGTGCAAGATTCTATACCGACGACAAATGTGATTTATCCCGCGGCGATAAGCTCGTACAACGTAATACGGAGAATCCCAGTATTATCATGTATAGGAGATTTTGAGCGTGTATGAAAAAAGCTTTTACGAGAAATTCGCGTAAATTTTAAATATTCAGCGTACCATGTATTATTAGATTCGTAGAATATCTATGAAAGGATGTCGTCGAGTTATTTTTCAAGAAATAATTACAATGCGGAAACTGATGGGATACCTACTGATTTTTTAAAAAATATAGAAAAAAATATTATCCTTGATAAATTGATATTAAAAAGATATCGTCAATTAAAGGCTTATAATTTTTTAATCCGCAGAAAGAACCGTGTTTGAAAAACTTTTACGAATTACGAATATGACAGAGGCGTGCAATTAATAGAACATCTATGAAAGGATGTCGTCGAGTTATTTTTCAAGAAATAATTACATTGCGCAAACTTATGGGATACCTACTGATTTTTTTAAAAATATAGAAAAAAATATTATCCTCGATAAATTGATATTAAAAAGATATCGTCAATTAAAGGCTTATAATTTTTTAATCCGCAGAAAGAACCGTGTTTGAAAAACTTTCACGAATTACGAATATGACAGAGGCGTGCAATTAATAGAACATCTATGAAAGGATGTCGTCGAGTTATTTTTCAAGAAATAATTACAATGCGCAAACTTATGGGATACCTACTGATTTTTGAAAAAATATAGAAAAAAAAATATTATCCTCGATAAATTAATATTAAAAAGATATCGTCAATTAGAGGCTTATAATTTTTTAATCCGCAGAAAGAACCGTGTTTGAAAAACTTTCACGAATTACGAATATGACAGAGGCGTGCAATTAATAGAACATCTATGAAAGGATGTCGTCGAGTTATTTTTCAAGAAATAATTACAATGCGCAAACTTATGGGATACCTACTGATTTTTGAAAAAATATAGAAAAAAAAATATTATCCTCGATAAATTAATATTAAAAAGATATCGTCAATTAGAGGCTTATAATTTTTTAATCCGCAGAAAGAATCGTGTTTGAAAAACTTTCGCGAATTACGAAGCGTTTATGTGACAGAGGCGTGCAATTAAAATTCGCGTCATCTTTGCGCCGAATTTTGAATTTTACTTTCTGCTAAAAGATTTATGTGTACATAAAAAATTTGGTAAATTTGCTTTTGCGACTATATTTTTAGCCAATGATGTAATACGGTCAAATCTGGTTAAGTGGGACTTGGATAAGAGGGAAATCTCTATTACTGAAATTATTTCTAAGGTCCCAACATTTTTGCATCAAAAAACCTCTGTAAGTAGAAATGCCCGACCTCTTTAACTGAGACTAATATTTAGTAATAATTACCTCTATAACCTCATAGAAAACCTCTGTAACTAAGATTATTATCGTTTTTACATTGCAACGTGTATGGCGTTATCGAAAATGACAGATATTTTTTAAATAAATTTTTTTACAATGCATTACATTGTACATTTTTTCACATGTGTAATGACATAGTGCTTATTTGCATAATAAAGTTTATTTGAATACTTAATTTATGTGCGTATTTTTACTTGATAATTATAAGTGAGACATACGCGTTTTGAATCTGGATAATTGAGAAATTGAGTAAGTGAGATATCTCTTTAAGTGGAATCAAATGAGCTGTCCCTTGCGATCTCACTTAACCAGGTTTGACTGTATTAGGGTTGAAATTTTTGCAAAGTACAATACGTTACAGCTAACTCGCGCAATAGAATCCATTTTTATACTTCGAATAAGTAACGCCAATTAAACAAATTCCCTAGCCTCCAGGGGTAATTTTCTTTCTTGAACAGCGCTTTACGATTATCATGTAAGTTCGCGTGATTAAATTAGCGAGAAATCTCTATAAATTTTAACGACATTTTTCGTATAAAACGAAAGACACGTTTTAACGAATGGGCGCCTTTAATCTTCGCAGGGAGAAAGAAACGAGCGATCTCGTCGGAAAGATCCTCAAAACGGTCTCTCGCGTGTGAACAGGGAAAAATATCGCCAAAGTACAAACCGGCACCGGGGGTACACGGGGGGGGGGCTAGAAGGGGGGAGGGACGCAAAGTAAGACATAATTGCGCCATAGTGGGGAAACGAAGAGTAAGTAATAAAAAAAGATAAGGAATGCCGGGCAACAGACTGACCTTGAGCACGGACGACGGTGAGCAGGCCGGCGAGGAGAACGATCGGATGGCACCGCATCATCTTTTTCACCTTCCTTCCCGCCTCGAGGCTATTTTCACCCGGCCGTCCTCCAGCTCGTCTTCACTTTTCTCGTTTCTCGCCGCACGCGTAGACGGGTCCGCTTTCCTCTCTCACGCAACCAAAACGAGAACACACTGCTATTACGTTCTTCCCGTCCTTCGCTCTTTCCCTTTCCCTCTCGCTATCCACTCGTCTCCCCTTCGCGCGCGATATCCGGTCTTGCTCGCGTGCCGATCACTCGATGGTATTTCCTTGGTAACGCTCGCGACTCGATCGCCGTTTAACGTCACGAAAGATCCGGCGTTCGGCACTCATATCACTTGTCCCCCTCTCGTCCGCTCGCCCGATCGCGAGAGATCCGGCCGCGAGTTACCTGGGACGCGGTAGAAGAGCGCTCCTTTGTACGGATCACGTCACCTGTTCACTGACGATCGCGGATCCTCGCGACGGTCCTCCGTCGACGTCCGCTCCCGCGTTCGTTCTCTGGAAATAGAGAGGAGGGCTGTTCGACTTTACCGCCGCCAAAGCCGATGGTAAAACGCAATAATGGCGCTTTATCGCCAAGAGTGGCAGTCGGGGTCTCGAGCGTCGTCTTTCTCCATTCGGTCAGGTCGTCCTATTTCCGTATCTTGAGGAAAACCCTCCGGATTCGCGCTCCAACGGGAATCTCTCTCGATCGTGGCGCGGGATATTAAAGCGGCGAGAACGGAAGCGGAAGGGATCGCCAACGGGGATATCGCCCGGTGGATATAGACCAGTGGACCAGCCGGAGACGATGATGAAACGAGAGTGCAAACTCGCGCGAGAGGATTGTCCCAACTTTCGCGTCCTAGACTCCAGTGATGGGATAAAATATAGCGACATGGTTATGCTCTCTCTCTCTCGCGCGCCACCTCGAAACCGAGGCTGATGTTGGCGAAGAAAGATAGGGATGTATGTCGGACGTGTAAAGACACGCCATGAAGGATCCCTGAAAGGTGAGGAAGAAGCGAAAAACGCACTGAATACGTCTCTAACGAACCACGCGAATTTGTTTCCATCTACATAAGCTCTCACGAGGAAGGATATCACGGCGGGTCATCGAATTCCTAGAGTCTTACTATCGTCGCCGATGATCGATGAACTCGGGACACACAAGTGCGCGTAGCAGATGGTGGCTTTCCGTCAGGAAAACGAGGCAATGCGATGCGATGCGACACGACGCCATGCCATCGTTGCGGCCAACCGCGATGCGATCCTCCCGGTCTCGAATAACACTTTTGCGAGGTTTCCGAAAGCTTCCCCGGTCGTTTCTCTCCGGTAACTTCCTTCGGTAGCCCTGTACTGTCTTCGCCAAGCCTTGGCGCATTCCTTCCGTCTCTCTCTCTCTCTCTCTCTCTCTCTCTCTCTCTCTCTCTCTCTCTCTCTCTCTCTCTCTCTCTCTCTCTCTCTTTCTCTCTCACCACTTTCAACGGCACTCGACTTGGGTCCGCAACGAGACGTAATTGAATAAAACCACTAAGTGATTAATTGCCGGAGTCTCCGTGGCGTTCTTCCATACTTGGCCCCGCCAACTTGGTACTCAAGTTTAAAAGATCTCAAGCTCGGGCAAGTTTAAAGAATCTACGAGAACGAAGCAGCCTTTCCACCTGACCGATAATTTCGACCTCCCACATCTTTGCCTTCTCTTCCACAACGCTGCCATACTTATTTCATCTCGATATTTTTTAGAACGATAATCATTATACATATATTACGGAAAAAAATTAATGCGCGCAAATAAATTGTAAATTGTTTACAAGTTCTTGAAGAAAATATCCAATAAAATGTCAATTTCAGTCTTTCAGAAACTGAATATCGTTATAGAAAATTATCGTGAAACGGTATTTTATTTTAGCTGATAAATTACAGTTTTATGGTCAGACGAATCAATCGATGAGGATTCGCGATGGTACGTCTTTCTCGAAGCCGCATCATTTTTATACGAATTACCAACTTTTTACCCGCAAAAAGAATTCCAATGATACTGTTATTGCCTCTCTATTGTACTTCACTTGGATTATTTATTGAACTATGAAAGTCACATTAATACGAACACGGGAACGATCAAGAATTTTGTAGACGTTATTTATCGAGGTACAAAGATGTATAAATTATACGGTACCGGTAGAAATAAAATTGCAAACATTAAAGAATTTATACCGAGTGCCTTCATCTTTCGATATTACATTCCTTTTCCTTATCGCCTCATATTCAATAATAAAAAATATGATAAAAAGTATGATAATAAATGACACGGAATTTTCACAAACTTTTACTTTTTCACTCAAATATCTCGTCGGCAAACATCTGGTGGCATCCTGTGCTCAGCAAGATCCCGGTTTACTCTATTACGGATGTTATGGTTTCTGGCGCGTTCAAACATTCAATACATCACTCCGAGACAGGCTATAACATTACCTCCCGATGTATTTTCCCTATAGTTGATCACAACATAAAGCACCATAAGTAGAATGCGTTTAAAAATACTCGAGTAGATAATGTCAATGTACGAAGATATTAAGAAGGCTATCTTATAACAAACACCATTAACGTCATTGGAGTTCGTTAAGTATCATGCAGCGATAAAATTTGCAATTTCACGATATCGGTTTTCTCGATACAACATCGTTTCCCTTTTCTTTTTCCGGTAAAAAGCCCGGACGGAGTTGGTTCTGCTTTAATCGTGATGTATGGTCCAACTTACGCTATTAAATCGAATTTACTTATACGTCTTCTCACGTTTTAGGCAGGAAGAGAGTTTTACTAGTTTAAAACTTACGCCGACAAACCGTACAGGTAGGGATGCGTATCCGCGTAGGAAAGTAGGATCCGATGAATTTATCGGCTTTCAGGAAAGTTAAAAGTCTTGGCGGGGTCCCGATAAGCAATTTTATTGACTTTGCGGCGAGATGATCGCGCATTTCTTTTTCTATTACGCGATAATTGACATTTCCGTGAGGAACTTGAATAAACGTCAGATCCCTCCTCCGCCGCGTTTCCCGATTAAAAAAAAAAAAAAAAAAAAAAAGGGTAAAAAAAAGCAGCTCGCCAATTCATCGGTTTCCATCTCTCTCTCCCTATGTTTCACCCTTTGAAACTGGATAGCTTCGCTTTTAACGAGCGGAGCAATTTTCGTCATGGAAGCGAGAAAAGAGAAGTCGCTATTTAATAACATTTCGTTACATCGTGAAAATATTTCCCGTCTCCTGCTACATCCTCGTCACGTTTCCAAGATATACATTTCGCCAGCGTCGATTCGAAAGAGCGAACCGGGGGGGTCGCTCGACGAAAAATCGTTAACTACCCGTTTCACAGCTAGGAGCCCAAGTTACCGCAACGAATCGAATTTGCTAATAGGGCGGTTCTAGCTCACCGAGCCTGGGGGGAATCGAGCCGACGCGTGGCAGACAGGCAGTTAGGATGTGTGTCCTGCGGGCTGGTCCTGGTGGCCCGAAGGGTACGAGGACTGTGGGACTGTCGCGTTAACTGAAAAACGCTCGTTAAAACGCGCTCATCCCGCATACGGGATACTCGCGTTGCGATTAACTCGAGGGGAGACGCGTTCGAGAGCTAACGAGAGTTAACTAGGAAGCGCCGCTTTCGCGGAAGGGGTAACTTTGAAACGCGCTCGTGCAAAAATGTTCCGTTCACTTTCGTTTGTGCCTCGGAATATCGCGCGAGTTTCTGTCACGCCGGGAAATGACAAGCCCAGCCACGCTCGTGAAACGTCATAAGCGACGCCCTCGGAAACGCTGGATCGGATTAATTGAACGAATATTAAATGTCATTCGCGTAATTACCGCGCAAGTCGCGAAAAGGTCGCTTTTAAACGGGAAACGCGAGAAACAAAGTTAACAGAAATAAAGCACGCGCACCGCGAATTAGGTCAGCGGGACATTCGAGTGATTTGATAAAAATGTTGGCTTCAAAAAAATCGAAATCGATCGCGGGACGAAGTCGATGTAATCGTAATTCCAGAGACAAATCGAGAATGAAATTCTCACTCCCGAGGAAGAGCAAGAGGATCATCGGTCTCTCTTGCGCGTGAATTTACAATTCGAGGAATTACTGTTGCATCATGAAGATCAGGAAATCGCATCGATATCAAAGGGTCCTGGCCCGCTGCTCGTTAGGAGAATCGTCACGAAGCTACGTGCTTCATCTATCATTCAGCCAGTTGTTTACTTAGCAAAAACACCTGTCGGCACCAGCCGACGGCTCTTCCACCGTTGCTGCATCGACACCGATCGTTTTGCCGATGAAAACTAGGGGAATCCAACCGGGACGTCCGCCCGATTCCAATCACCGCCGAACAGCCGACCGATAAAAAGCCGCGGAACTCGTTAAGCTGCCGCGCGACCGCGGTGGATTGACGTCGAATAGGAATCGAGAGATGCGAATCTCAGTTGGGAAATCCCCCGATGCACCCCCAGAGTCACGTCACATTACTATCTCCCCCGATTTGCAGAAGCGATGGAAAAGGGTCGGAAACGAGAAGAAAAAAGAGAGAGAGAGAAACGGGGAAAAAAGGAGAAAGGGACGATCGAGAGGGAAAAATCGCGGATTCCTCGTCGTCCAGGAGGAAACGTCATCCCCGAAGGGTGACCGGTGGAGAAAGACACCTCGAGACCCCGGGACTCGGAAATCGACATCGACCTCTCCTTGCGAATCCTGGAGCGGAAACGCCGGCAATTTTTTTTCGGAGCGATCGTCGGCGACCGGAGACTCAGCACCGACGAAGGACTACTGAATTCCGCGCGGTCGCTCGCACGCACGACGCGTGTCAGGGATCGGAGAGCCGTGTGTTTAAACGCGCGCGCGCGCGCGAGAGATACATGCACGGTACGCACGGGATACGCGTACGCTCGCCACGATCGCGGGCTCGGCACTGGCGCGCGGTGGCGCCCGGACTTTTAGTTCGTGGCGCTACCGCGCAGCGTCGCGACGCCCGTCCGACTTCTCCCTCTCCCTCTCGCCCTCTCGTTCTCCCCCCTCTCCCGCGCTCCTTCATCCCTTTCGCCCCACCACGGGAGCGATGGGCGACGTTCGCCCGGCGCACCGGGGGCCCTTCCGCGCGAATATCCCGCCGATACCCTCGTCGGCGATGCCCGCCCGCGATGGGAAACCCCCGGCGCACGTGCTGTCAATCAAAAGAACGCGAGATAACATCCGCGGATAAAGGCTGTCAGTCCCGCTATCTGTACTTTAGATAATGAAATCCCTAACTTCATTTTCCACGGAGTGAAAATGCGCAATTATTCCGGCGGACGTCGATCGACGCGTATATAAGCGGCATGCATAATGAAGCTTTCCAATTGCACCCTTTTTGCGGGGATTCTTTTTACGCCTTCTTAAAGCTTTTTTTCTATTTCCTCTTGATTGTGTGGCAAAAATGTGTGCAATGTATTATTTAAATTTCTATGTTTTATATAGTCAGTATTTGGTTGATACGTTTGTTGAATTTGTTAATTGCGGCATGTATATGTTTCTATGTATGTAGAAATCATTTTATTTTTATTATAATTTCATTCTTTAGAAATGTTAAGAGATATATTAATTAAGTATAAAAAAAAAATTGTTGAGAATCATAAGAATAAAAATTTATCAAATATTACTGCCACACATGTTTCCATTAAATCGAGAATATTATATATAATCAAAATAAAAATTTCAGTATTTGGTTGATACGTTTGTTGAATTTGTTAATTGCGGCATGTATATGTTTCTATATATGTGGAAATCATTTTATTTTTATTATAATTTCATTCTTTAGAAATGTTAAGAGATATATTAATTAAGTATAAAAGAAAGATTGTTGAAAATCATAAGAATAAAAATTTATCAAATATTACTGCCACACATGTTTCCATTAAATCGAGAATATTATATATAATCAAAATAAAAATTTCAGTATTTGGTTGATACGTTTATTGAATTTGTTAATTGCGGCATGTATATGTTTCTATATATGTAGAAATCATTTTATTTTTATTATAATTTCATTCTTTAGAAATGTTAAGAGATATATTAATTAAGTATAAAAGAAAGATTGTTGAAAATCATAAGAATAAAAATTTATCAAATATTACTGCCACACATGTTTCAATTAAATCGAGAATATTATATATAATCAAAATAAAAATTATATAATATTTAAAATTATATATCTCTTTGGACATAATTTATGTATATACATAGTTTTACTTCTTAAGGATGTTTTGTATGTACAAACCCAACAAAAAGTAGCTGAAAATCAATATTGACGAATATATCCACTTTTGTATTTTGAGTAAGAAATTGCGTGGAATATTATAGTTTGATCTTAGCTACAGTGCAGAGATGTATTTTTTAATATTTATTGCGTTTTTAGTGAAATATTCCGAATTTTGTTAATCGAAATGATTAAATTTTGGCAGAGAATTTCGCCTTGTGACAGATACATGGCTAACTTCATTGTATTATATTTAATATCTTTTTAACCAGTTAGCACTTGTATAATATTATTTGATCAAATATTTTCTCTGTATCTAAATTTTTGCAAATTTTAAACAAATTCTGAATATTATTTCCATGTGTTTTTGTCATTTGAATCGACGTGGTTATACATTTCTCATAAGAACACATGTTAATTCGGTGCAAATTAAAATCCTTATAACTTGTGGACGCTTTAAAAGTGAATCGATTTAAAAATTGTACGGAAGATTCTAAACATATGTAAGGACATTCTATACAATTTTCATTAAATTTTCAATATTTTGAAAATAGATACAAAACATCCTTAAACAAGTTTTCTCTAACAAGAGCCAAAATAAAAACGTCAAAAGACACCATCTGGATTATAAATGCGATAAAGTCAGATTGCGTTTTACGTTTCTGCTCGCTTTGTTTCAATTTCACATATAAATTTCGATAATACAACTCAGCAAAAGTTTAATTCAATTTTGCGCTTATTACAAGATACCGTTGGACGCGTTGGAACATTTCACGTGCACGAATACGTATCACGTAAAAAAATTATAATCTGCTTGAAATTCCACCACGCCGCCCCACCGAATATACGCTACACGAGATCCATTTAAATTACGCAAAGCAGGAGAATCTCGTAATCTCGGGTGTCCAAGACTAGTCCTGCTCCCGGTCTCCTAATTAGTCTAATCGCTCTATGAAATAACACATAGGTACGTACGGCCATATCTAAACGACCCCCTGAGAATTCTGGAATACTTGATATTTTTCTTAAATAGAAGGTTAAGAGAATATATGATAAAAATTGCCAAAATCAATCGATGCAGTCTCGTAAGAATGAAGGGAACAAAAAGACAAAATAATCCACATATGCTATTATATTACTATCGATGGCGTACATTTAGTCGTATTCTCTCTTTGAGCGAATAAGAGGGAGCAAAAGGGTCACCGAGAGATATGCTTAAAAAGATGAAAATGAAGAAAAACGATACAGTTTCGCGCAACGATCGCCACGCGCTTTATACCAACTGCGTTGCCATGGTAAAGAGAAGCTTATAGGATTTCTCTCGTTTTTATCACTGGTTTACTATAGTTTTCACTGAGGTAAGCAGCTCTTTTCTCGGTGCGCTCTTACCGAGAGCTGGGATGGAGCCTTTCAAGAACGTCTTGTGTCGAACGTCTCGGCGGCCATGGAAATAACGGATAAGAGGAGACAAAGAGAAAGAGAAAGAGAGAGAGAGAGAAAGGGAAAGAGAGAGAGAGAGAAAGAGAAAAAGAAAATGACAGCGAGAGAAAGGGAGAAAAGGGGAGGGAAAGAGTGTCGGGAAAAGAATCGCGAGAATGGCGCGCGTACACGTCAATGTCGGTAACGTACGATCCAAGGTATTTCCGCACAATTGGTCGTGATAACGCTCGCAGAACGGTAACTTAGTTGTCGTCGCTATCTAACGATTCTCAGCGAGATATCGCGGAGAGATAGGAAAGATCGCGTTCGGAAATCTTCCCGCGCGCTTATTCCGTCAAACTTAAATCCCCGCTCATTACGATGGTAGACTCTTACACGAGTGTCTGGCGAAAACTGTTCCCTAATTAGAGATAATTAAGGAAGCATGCATCGATCGCAGACAAAATACCGCATCTTTCGATTACATGGAAAATCTATTCATAACAATCTATTTATAACAATCTCTCTCTCTCTCTCTCTCTCTCTCTCTCTCTCTCTCTCTCCCCTCTCTCTCTCTCCCTCTCTCTCTCTCTTTCTTTCGATAAAAGTTTGTCGACTTGTACTGACTGTATGTACGATAATGAACAATTTATGATTAATTAGCGCTAAGAGAAAATGAACGGAAAGACGCGTGATTTATACTTGGGAAGTCTGTGAAATCGTGCATCGCCAAATATCGTAAAGCACGAGTGGTTAAGCTTGCATACGGATTGCGACGAGATTCGCGACGCCTCGACTTTATATATCCTCGCGGATTAAATTTCGCGGAAAATCCCGAGAGACGAAAAAACACATTCAGCGCAAATGTCTTGTAAGAGTTCCGTAAGAGCTGTACTTTACATGACACATTTCGTATCGGAGTTCTTTCGCCATTGGATCGCTCTGGTGAGTGGAGAAGGCGAATGGAACTTCCTGTGCGAAAGGACTGTAATGGCAAAACGAGCGAAAGTAATGCCGGAACTAAAGCTGCAATGACTCGAGCAAGCCGCGTAACTGCAACAGCAAACTGCATTCGTCCGACATTGTAACAATTGAGATGCGCTTTGGTGCTACGATGTGATAGGTATCTATTTACCTTGACTTCTTCGGGAGCTGGAACGAACGGATTAATCATCTCTTCCCGCAAACTACCAGGGATAATATTTAAATTAATGATCATATCTCTCTCTTTTCGCGAATCAAATAATGCGAATTAAATGTCACCACTGGATTTCATTCCATCGAGATTTAATGAGCGTAATTTCGTTCGCGAAAAGGAGAATGCGTCATGTACACCTAATAATTTGCCGTAAATATAAGTGAAATAATTAATCGCGTTCTCTCGAGTGATGGGAGTGGCGTATTGTAGTGAGAGCACGAGGTCAAGTGAACGAGCGACAAGCGTAATATTCTCGATAATTGCATCGTTTCACGTAAAATAGTGCTGATATATAAAATAAATGAAAATAAAATCCCGCCATAAACGAAACGCATTGTACGAAACGAATGACTGCTCCGCAATCATTAAAAGAGGCAAACACTTATAAGCGTACCTACATATATACGAAATGAATGAAGCGCTTCCCCTATCAATGTCAGAAAGAATCCCGAAGAAGCATCAATTCCAATTAAATAATAATAAGTTAAGGATGTTTTGTACCTATTTTTAAAATATTGAGAATTTAATGAAAATTGTACAGAATGTACAATATGTCCTTACATATGTTTAGAATCTTCAGTACAATTTTTAAATCGATTCACTAAAGCGTTCACAAGTTATAAGAATTTTAATTTGCACCGAATTAACATGTGTTCTTATGGAAAACGTATAACCACGTTGATTCAAATGACAAAAACACATGGAAATAATATTCAGAATTTGTTTAAAATTTGCAAAAGTTTAGATACAGAGGAAATATTTGGTCAAATAATATTATACAAGTACTAACTGATTAAAAAGATATTAAGTATAATTTAATGAAGTTAGCCATGTGTCTGTCACAAGGCGAAATTCTCTGCCAAAAGTTAATCATTTCGATTAAGGGTGTTTTGTACCTATTTTCAAAATATTGAGAATTTAATGAAAATTGTACAGAATGTCCTTACATATGTTTAGAATCTTCAGTACAATTTTTAAATCGATTCACTAAAGCGTTCACAAGTTATAAGAATTTTAATTTGCACCGAATTAACATGTGTTCTTATGGGAAACGTATAACCACGTCGATTCAAATGACAAAAACACATGGA